CTTCCTTGATTGAATCAATCCATCTATAATGTGGTCTTCCTCTTTTCCTGCTGCCTTCCTCTTTCTTCCAGCAAGCCATGCCATTTCATGATAAGTCCAAAGTACAGCAGTCTCAATTTAGTCATATTCGCTTCTAGTCAGAGTAAATCTGAATTGACCCATTCATTTGTCCATTGTATCTTTATAACTTTCGTCCAAAATCACGTTTCAAAACAGTTGATTCCCTTCCTAAAAGCTTTCACTGTCCAGCTTTCATAAGCACACATAGAAAGCATAAATACTGTGACTTGGATGAATCTGACTGGGATTTATACCTGCAACTAATCCATAAAATGTGTTTAATTCGTTAAATAAAAGGCATAAAGCACCTCTTAATCACATATTTAATTATTGTATAATTTCTAAAGCCTTACACATCCAATAATGTTTTAGACCATTGATTCTTAAATGCTTCATTGGGAGTATTCAAGATTTTTGGTTTCTTGTTTGTGGCTCACCATATTCTTTTCCCACATTGATTGGCTCTTTGCACACAATCTGAATTAAAACCACTCAGATGCAGCCATTTTAATTGCCAAGGAGAAGCATTGCTAAGTAATGCCACTGAGGAATTTATTGGGCAAGACACTGCTGTCTGTGTTGCACAAGAACATTCAATTAGTTGGCAGTAAATATATCACTGTTTACTATTGGAAAAGTCCTCCACATCTTCTCTATTGCTGTTTTTTTAAAAAATCACATCCTGAAAGTGCACCACAGAAAGGAGATGGTGGGAAGCATAAGTCAACATACCTTCATTATTGTGATAACTTTATCACATCAGTGTAGTTCTGACTGCATGGAAAACCTTGATTTCCTTCTACATGAAACAACTCACAGTATTTCCTTTGCTTGCACTGCTTAATCCTGAGGAGAGGAATGGGAGCCTCCTTATTATATTTGAACTTCTCTCTAAATTCCATAGTAACTTTTTGTAGACTACAACTCCTAGAATTTTCCAGTCATCTCAACTATAGTATGGTGGTTATCCGGAAAGTAAGGTTACAAGGTATATAACTCTTGCAGGGAATTTTCTTGGGGAAAGTTGGTATCACTGTCCTGTAGTGGGAAGCCAGTGGAAGCGAACAAGCTGTGCCAGTCGTCAGTAGCTCATCGACTGGCATTGTGATTGTTAGATTTTAGCGTCTTCATTTCATTTCCCTCTAAGTTTGTGCTTTAATATGCTACCTGAATGCTAAGGACATGAACTCCACTGCGATTCATTGCAAAATTGTTTCAGTTTATGGAGAGGTCGTAATGTCAAGACAGCATGTGACCAAATGGATACGGAATATATTGTGAGAAGATGAAGAAACTTCACAGAGCCATCTAAAACAAACATCGTGGGATGCTGACAGCGGGAGTCTGTCTCCTTCATGACAATGCACGTCCGCACACCGCTCATGCAACACAAGAGTTGTGGTTGGGATGTTTTAAGCCACCCCTCTCACAACCCCGATCTCACACCCAGTGACTATTATCTGTTCATTAAATTGAAGGAACACCTCAGTGCAAAACACTTTTACGAAAAGGAGGAGTTGAAAATCGAAGTGACTAACTGTCTGAAAAAGACGGAGGGAAACTTCTATGACACAGGCATCAAAAACTCATCCCACGGATAACAAAATGTATTGAACTGAATGGCAATTATGTGGAAAAATAATGTAATACCTATGCTACAATCCATGTAAGTTTTATTAAAATATATTCATTCTTTGTATTTTTTAAAAAATCTTTCCGGATAGCCATCATAGCATGAACCATTACAGTAGCCCCAGTGGCCAGAAAATTTAGGAGTTGTACACTATGTGCTTATGAAATGCTGTTTACCAACAAGTTACACAATCTAGTATGGAGAGGTTATGCTCCTTGAAATTGGAAAAGTAAACTCCTCATAGCCATCAACCTTGAAGCAGTGTGTTTGGGGAACTATAATTTTCTGTTATATTTGAATGGTATTATCTAGTTGAGGGTTTGTAAGATGAGAGAGGAAGATGAATGAAAGCCATAAGGAATAAGCTGCGAGCAGCAAAATCTTGAACATTACAACCCATTCCATTATTGTTCTATCTCTAACTCTGAAATACTGAGATAAGGGATATCATCATGTTCATCATAATCATTGGTGTTGGTGAAAGAGTGTAATGAGCACCGATGTGCTTTGAATAGCCAGTGCATTACCTGTAATGATGCTTCATACCGCTCTGTCATCTGAATTTTCTTTCTTAGCCCAACAGAATAATCCCTCTTTGTTTTCCCCAAGCGTGCAAAGGCAAAATAGTGCGCATTTCAATGATTCCATTGTAAACCTCTTTGAATGGCACAGAGCAAATGCACAAATCAAGGAGGCATAAAGGGGACATCTCTCTGAATAAGGACATTGTAGCTCACCTTGTTTAGGAGAGACCTTAAAAGGGATCACACATATCAAAGGTGCATGCTGGAGTGGTTGGGTACTCAGGTTCCTTGATATGAAAGTGGCAGCTCTGTCTTTTCAAAAGAATACCAAAACACCAAAGAACTAAATGAAACATTTTGGAACTGAGCCCTCTCACACTACTGCTGTGTGTATCTCCTTACCTTGGCTTCACAACTATCTTTGAAAGGTACTTGATGCTCTTTGAAGAATGTTGCCATGCAACCAAATAAATTAGATGCCAACTATTTCATTTCTTTGTCCCATAACAGTCAGTCTATCGCTTCCTGGCAAAAGTTGTACCAACACAAATGTTTTTGAAGGTTAAATAGATTTGCTATACCTAAACATAGATTTTCATTTCATTGAGCTCGAAGCAACATTAAACAAAATGTGTCAATTACATAGTTTGTACAGGTTTGTTATTATTTGTCTGAAATGCTTGAGATGTGGAGTGTTTTGGATTTTGGTTTTCCCCTGGATTTAGAGTACTTGCATATGCATATTGAGCTATCTTATAGATGGAACCCCATTCTAAACACAGAATTTATGTTTTATATACATCTTACACACATTGCCTGAGGATAGGTTTATACAATATTTAAATTATATTGTCCATGAAACAAAGTCTGTGTACACTGAACGTAAAGTATGTGTAGAATAGTAAAAAGTAAAAAGTAATGTGTAGAAAGTAAGTAATGTGTAGAAAGTAAAGTATGTGGAGAATTTTTGATCTTGGATCTTAGACAGTACCCAAGTTATAAACAAGTTAGGTTCTGTAGGTTTGTTCAAGTTGAATTTGTATGTCAGTAGGAACAGGTACATGATTTTAAGTATATATATATATATATATATATATAATCTTTGAATCGCATATAGAAGGCTTAACACCCCTGTCCCCCGGTCTGTAACCCTGTTCAGAAGATTTCACCTCACTTTCCGTCCCTGTGATAACTGAAAAATTTGACTTGTTGTGGAAACAAGTATTGGTGAAAATGCTTCAGTGGATACATCGTTTCCCCATGATAACTCTTTTGAAAGAGAATTCCCCTTTCGAGGAGTAGATTTCTCTCACTTCCTGTTGTCTCACCTCCGTTCATAACTATGAATCACTTGTAAGCCAGATGTTTGCAATGTGGGACTGCCTGTATTTTGGATTTCGAGATAAAGGATGCTCAATCTGTATAATAAAGATGTGTTTTGTTAACCAGGCTTCTTTGAAAGGGCGAAAAGTAGAAAACAAGCCTATGAGGAACATCTTGGGGAGCTTAGTGTATTTAGCCTGAGGAAGAAAGAGTGAGAGGTGACATTATAGTTATCATGAAATGTCTGAAGAGATATTAAGTGTAAAATCAAGCGAACTCGTTTTCTGCTGTTCCAGAAACTAAAACACAAACCAATAGATTCAAATGGAAGAGGGGGCAACCAAGGGCAAAATGGATGCAGGTTATCCTTGATGTTACAGGCTTGACCTTGAAGGAGCTGGGAGTGGCGAAGGGCTGATCCATGAGGTCATGACCCATGAGGTCACGAAGTGCAAGCAATTGAACAAATAAACAACAACAAATTTCAAGAAAAGAGAGTTTATCTCTTTTACTGTTCGAGTTGTGACACTGTAGAATAAATTGCCCTCTCCATCTTTGTAAGCAGAGGTTGGATGGACATTCTTCAGGAGTGTTTTAGTTGTTCATTCTTATATGGCAGGGATTAATAGATGGTTCTAGCAGTACCTTCTAACTATCCTAAAAAAATGCTGGAGGTGGTTAAAACTGGAGAAGCAGCAAAAAAAAAAAAACTTAGGACTCATAGGGAACATTAAATGGAGATGTGTCATTTAAAAAAAAACCAACAATTTATTTTAAATGCTCAAACTCTTAGGAAGCAACATTCTCCTTTCAAAAAAAATTGTGTGCGTCTTCCACGTGACTTGCTTTCAGCTAAAATGTTCTTGTTTTTTATCCAGTAGCAGATATCTGAGTCCCTTTCACATTACACATTTATAGCACTGTGATTCCACTTTAACTGCAATGGCAACAGTCTGTGCAATCATGGGACTTGTAGCTTGATGAAACACTAAAGCTCTCTGGTTGAGTATTCTAAATAACTCTTTCTAAAATTGGAAGGAAAAAGGAAGAGGAGTTGACCAAGGGCAAGATGGATGGATGGTATCCCTGAAGTGACTGGCTTTACTGAAGGAGCTGGGGGTGGTGACGGCTGACAGGGAGCTCAGGCGTGGGCTGGTCCATGAGGTCACAAAGAGTCGGAAGTGACTGAATGAATAAACAACAACTTCCTAAAATGTAGATGCCAAAAATATATAGGATGCAGTCAGGGCAATTAAAGTGGTACCATAGTTCTGAACTTTTAAATAATAAATGGACGCATCGCCCCTGACCCACAGGAAGTCCATGAAATAAGAAAAATCGACTAACATGGAATAGAAAATGAGGTATATATTGTGCGTGTCTCGAAGTATGGAATATCATACATCCAGACATATATGCAGGCATATTTAAAAGCCTTTGCTTTCCCTTTTCCTTTGCAGGGGCCCATTCGTATGACTCCTGATCTCACTGGTTCTCCAGCAGTGGGCTATGTTCCCATAAGCCAGAAACCTGAGGCTGTGGTGCACGCTATGAAGGTAAGTGTGTTCTTTGTGTTCAGCAAACCATCTCTTCCAAAGAGGAGAAACACCAAAAACCTTCTGCTGGGATGAGAAAAGGAGATGCTGCCATCTTATGATAGGACCTGGATGTAAGATTTTTCTTTCATGATATAACACAGGACTAGGGAATCCATAGTGTGGTACTTCAGTTCCCATTTGACTAGCTAATCCGACAAAGATAGGGGATTTGAAGCAGTCATTCATCAGCATCATTCAGAGTCAAAGGAGCAGAGACCTTTGCTTATTTCATTCACATGCAAAAATGAGGAACTTCAGAAGTTACCCATTGAGTGAGTTTCTGAGAAGTATTATGTGAAAAATGTATTTATAAAAAAACACATTGTCTTGTGCAAAAAAAAGCATTTTGTTCTTAAGAAAAATAGCAATATTTCTGCATGAAATGCACTCTTCACTTTTCACAGAAATATCATGAAATTACATCAGTTGACCATTTTCTTGATTAATCATCTTAGTGTGTCCAGGTACTTTCTGGTATCGAAGATGAGAAAAATTCCAAACATTTTGGAATTCCAAGAATTATGGGAGTACTGATAAATATTTAACAGTTGCATCAGAAGTAGTGGCTGCTTAATAGCATTTTCTTGACCAGTAGAAGAAAAAACCTTAAAGGTTTGTGTGTTGGGTATCTACATGGCTCCTTACTTGGCATCAAATTGGCTGGAGTTTTGTTGATGCTTACAAAAAAAAGACTATTTCTAGTTGTTGTCGAAGTCTTTCATGGCCGGAATCACTGGGTTGTTGTAGGTTTTTTGGACTATATGGCCACAACCTCTGAGGGTGCCTGCCATAGATGCAGGCGAAACGTCAGGAGAGAATGCTTCTAGAACATGGCCATATATCCCGAAAAATCTACAACAATCCAATTTCTAGTTTTTCAGAAAGCCCCCCAGTCAGCACATGTTTATGGGACCTCTGTCCTAGGTGTATTTGGCTCATATAAAAAAGAGAGCTTTAAAAATTACCTTTTAGGACAACAACCCAGAATCCCTTTGTCAGTGATGTGGAGTTCTGGGATCTGCAATCCAAAAAAGGAATATTTCCTAGCTCTGTAAAATAAACAATATCTAGTTTGCTTCGGAGCCCCCAATGGTGCTGCGGGTTAAATTGCTGGGCTGCTGAACTTGCTGACTGAAAGGTCAGTGGTTCAAATCCATGGAGCGGGGTGAGTTCCCACTGTTAGCCCATCTTCTGCCAACCTAGCAGTTCAAAAACATGCAAATTTGAGTGGATCAATAGATACCGATCCGGCGGAAAGGTATCAGCGCTCCATGCAGTCATGCTGGCCACATGACTTTGGGGGTGTCTACGGACAACGCCGTCTCTTCAGCTTAGAAATGGAGATGAGCACCACTCTTCAGAGTTGGAGATAACTAGACTTAATGTCAAGAGGCAACCTTTACCTTAGTTTGCTTCAGAAAAGCTGGATGATTGTATATATTGTCAAACAATGTACAGGCACTTTCTATGTATTTGATAGGTTAGGGACCAGAACATTGTCAAAAAGTGGAAGCGGTTGAAATATGGATCTCTAAGTGTAAACAATGGCCAAAGATATACAGGTTCTTGTTCTAAATCAGAATGGATGAAAGAGGGGGTAGTCAAAAAGCAAGTAATCAAAGTGGGTAATGTCTGCATAATTGAGGAGAAATCAGAAAGGTAGCAACGAGAGTCTGCTTGTTCTTCATGGGGAAAAAGTATGGCATTGGTTCTTTATGCTACTCACCGTCCTTATTATTGTGGCCTGCACTGGAGTTTTCCAGCAAAGTTATTTAGAATTATATGAGTTATAGTCCAAAAAAAGTATTTTTTTTTTTTTGGCTGAGGTGCACCTTTTATCTTTGTGACAGTAGTGTTTTGCACAGCAGTTGAGATCTGGAGTGCTACCCTGAGCAATACTGGAAAGAAAAAAAAGGAAGAGAGATGAAAACTCCTCACTAAAAACTCTTCTCTTTGAAATGCTGTAAAAGGATGATGTACCAAATCCTCTTCTTTGTACTATCCATAGCCTGTGTGTCACACTGATGTATCTGTATCTCACATGCGCCCAGCACTGTTGTTTTCATTATCGAAAGTCTCGGCAATGTGAAAGCCCTTGCAATGTATCAGGCCCCACGGCACTTAGATCATACTTCAAGTTACAATTGTGCGCACAGATACTGAGAAAATATAATACTGTGGAGAGAGAGAATGAGAAAAGGAGGGAGGGAGCTTTCTCCGCTGCCAGAATCTGCTTGTGTTTCTAGGTCCGGAATTCTATTTTTAATAAGGAGGCTACTCACAATGCATTTCATCAAGATGCATTCATGGAGAAAACTGCTGAGCATCTGCCTGACAGTCAGCTTTTACAGGAGGAGTGGGCAAAAGCATGGCTGCGGCTTTGCACATGGCTCCCTGGGGCTGTTTTGATAGTTCCTTGAGACTCCTAACAGCCCTTTTCTAACTTCCCCAAAGGTGAATTTCTACTTCTGGGAAATAATCACCCATTAAATCAATTGCAACCTTTCTCCCTTCTGGCATATTGTTGTTTTTAACATAAAAAATACCGATTTTCCCAAAAGTAGAGGTGTGCTTTCACTCTTGTTTTCTTCTTGTCTTCCATTTTTAGCATCTAACACAACATGGGCTTTAGAGTCACCACAATTACCCAGCTTTGCTTTAAATCACGGGGTATTGGAAATTGTGGAAGGGTAGAGGGGTCACATTTGGGAGCCCTGTACTCTCCACCATACACTCTCTCACAGAGAATATTATTTATTTTGCTCTAAAGGAGGACACTTTTGTCCTTGCGTTTGGACCTTCCTGGAATATTTTAGTATTTTAATATTTTAGTATTTTAATATTTTTAAAAATAAGGCGCAATGAGTGAAAGCTATTTCCTGTTCACTTTGTATTTCAGAAAAATCACTCTCTTTGGCTTAAATTGGCCCAGTGATGGCCCACAATATAATGTAAATGTATTTATTTATTTTTATCCCACTTTTCTCCCATGGGTGGAATTCAAAGCAGCAAACAATGGTTAGTAAAGGTAAAGGTTTTCCCCTGACATTAAGCCCAGTCGTGTCCGACTCTGAGGGTTGGTACTCATCTCCATTTCTAAGCCGAAGAGCCGGCGTTGTCCATAGACACCTCCAAGGTCATGTGGCCAGCATGACTGCAAGGAGCACCGTTACCTTCCCGCCGGAGCAGTACCTATTGATCTACTCACATTTGCATGTTTTCGAACTGCTATGTTGACAGAAGCTGGGGCTGATGGTGGAAGCTCACGCCGCTCCCCAGATTCAAACCTGCAATCTTTCGGTCAACAAGTTTAGCAGCCCAGCGGTTTAACCCACTGCGCCACAATAGAAATTACATGACACAAACCCACATAAACAATTTAATAAATCGCACATTACATGAACCATATAAGCAAGCTTAATAAATACAACATGTACCATTAAAAATCCCTGGGCCTCAGGGCAGTGAGGTTATCTTTAAAAACATTAAACAAAAAAATCCTCGAAACTCCGCTTCTTTAGGCCGTATAAACATTGCCAAGTTTTCTCAATAGCTGGCCTGGTCATTGCCTATTATGGGTTATCAAGAAAGGCCTGATTCCATAGAAAGGTTTTAACTTGTGCAGGAAAGGCCAATATAGAGGGGGCTGATTGCGCCTCTTTGGGAAAAGGGTTCCAGAGCTGCGGAGCCACCACCGAGAAGGCCCTCTATCTCGTTCACACCAGCCACAATTGAGATGGTGGTGGGACTGATTTAAAAGCCACATAAAATTTCACCCTAACTTCTGTTTCTCAGACTACTGTTAAAGCCACAAGAGCAAGAGCCATAGAGTCGACAGCTGCCAACCTTTGCACACAAAGAAATTACCACTGTGAGTCCTGCTTAGTTTGCTACCCTCTTTTCATATCCTGAAATAGGAGCCGGAGTGGCACAATGGGTTAAACCCTTGTGCCGGCTGAACTGCTGACCTGAAGGTTGGCAGTTCAAATCCGCAAGACGGGGTGAGCTCCTATCTGTCAGCTCCAGCTTCTCATATAGGGACATGAGAGAAGCCTCCCACAGGATGGTAACACATCCAGGTGTCCCCTGGGCAACATCCCTGCAGATGGCCAATTATCTCACACCAGAAGCGACTTGTAATTTTTCAAGTCGCTTCTGACACAATTAAAAAAATATATTCTGAAATAGGCTTTGTTGTTATAGTAGTACCATAATGGACAGATATTCAACAGGGATATTTTTTTTCGTATGGCTCAACCTTGAATCTAATAGGTGCCACATCTTTTTGCAAAATACGACAAAGCCCCATGCTTATATTTTGCATTTGAAGAATGGGACATGAAGTTAATGTGTAAATCTAATTTACTAGGGAGTTTCATGCTAGCAATAAAATGTGATGGAGCGTCTCAGCCTGGATTAGAGGCAACCATTAATTAAGCCAAACAGGCTTGCTGTGTGTATGTAGCCTGTGGAGGCAGCCATCATTTGTCTGGACATGTGCATCACTGTTTCTGGGCTCGTGCATTGAAATGTGATTGCTCAGGCTATTGAATATCGCAGGCGTGCAAAGGCTGGACGAGCTGGTTCCATATATTCTGCTTCCAGCAGGATCAATAATTAATTGTTGCCTTTCCACCCAGCATCCAGTTTTGTTTATCAGCTGTTAAAACCCTCTTGCTTCTTCTCGTCTCACTAGTCCTCCCCTCCATCCTGCTTTGGATTGAATTATATTTTGAAAAAACATAGCATCGTGCAAACTCATCATCAGTCCAAAATTAATCAGCCAAGTTAGTGGATAGCATGATTTTCAAACTAGGTTAAAGGCCCTAAGAGAATGACCTATTTTTGTAACTGAGACTTTAAACAGGCAGCAGGAAAACGAAACATCACTCCGGTTATAAGCAGTCAAACTGCAGCGCTACAGTGTAAAGTGAAATGTAAGCCTGGGGAAAGGAAAGCTTGCCTGCCTGAATAGCTATATGAACTCAACACTCTCTCAGTGTCTGTGTATTTTAGAACCAAAATGATCAAAATGCACTGCATTGTTCATGCTGGCCACATGACCTTGGAGGTGTCTACGGACAACGCCGGCTCTTTGGCTTAGAAATGGAGATGAGCATCAACCCCAAGAGTCAGACACAACTGGACTTAATGTCAGGGCAAACCCTTTACCTTTACTTTTCTCTTTGTAATCTGAATTATAATTTCCATGGGTGGATTGAAGAGAGTATTCTTCTGTGTGTGCTAGTGATGGCTGAGATAAGCCTTTTGACTGAAAATGCTGATCTACTCTGGTCTGTTTTCTCGGATTTTGTTTTTCAAGGTCATCACAGGACCTTTAATAGTAGAAACGTGCTTCATAAAAATTGGCCACCAAACTTATCTAGCAGGAGTTCCAAAGCAGAGTATATAGCAGTGGTTCCCAACCTTTTTCGACCAGGGACCACTTGACCAGGAACCACTCGCCAACATTAGTACCAAAAGGGGTATGAATCAGTTCTTGGTCAACTTTAAATTCAGTTTGGTTATTTGGGGTTCTGATTCAGAAAATTGCATTGAATAGACCACTTCAGCTCTAGTTTCTGATACAGAACATATGCCATCTAATAGTCACCATCTGCTCCTCGACATAAAATCATATTTAATCATCTAGAGCTGATGTGGTAGTAGTAATCTTTTGTGGGTAGTCAGCCACTCCCCTCCCGACATCCCCATTACCTCGGCACTATAAGAGGGTTTCACGAGACTAGTCACTCTTGTTGCCACATGGTTTCAATGCAACAGTTTAGTCACGGTGAGGCCATGGAGCATATTTTCGTTCTTGCGAACCAATGGTGGTCAATGGACCACAGGTTGGGAATCACTGCTATATCAGAGGCCAAGATGAAGTACTTGTGCCACATAATGAGAAGATAGGAAAGCTTAGAGAAGACAATGATGCTGGGGAAAATGGAAGAAAAAGAAAGAGGGGCCGACCAAGGGCAAGATGGATGGGTGGCATCCTTGAAGTGACTGGCTTGACTCTGAAGGAACTGGGGGTGGTGACGGCTGACAGGGAGCTCTGGCATGGGCTGGTCCATGAAGTCGCGAAGAGTTGGAAGCGACTGAACGAATGAACAACAACAGTAACCAGAAACATCCAGAGACTTAGGAGAACCTTTAGCAAGCTGCCCATCTGCTGCCTGATGCAGTAGCCTCAATCTGCCTATTAGATATAATCTAGACTAGAGCAATCATTATTTAATTTATTGGGTTGTTATCACAACTTTGTCCCATAAGTTGGATTCAAGGCATCTTACAGTGAACACATACAAGCAAAACACATGGGCTGGGATCCTATAGTGTCAAACAGCTAAGAAGGAAACTTTTCAGTATCTCCTTAGGCTAGCAGAAGTGTGCCATCTCCTGAGTCAACCATTCAGCATATACCTCCAACCAGAAGCCAGCATTTTTCCTCAGGGACTGGCTCTTAAAGGGTGCTCAGAGCAGAGAGCCTATGGGAGAGCCTATTGTTGTAAACCACCTTGAGTCCCCCAGGGTTGAGAAAGGCAGTATATAAATAAATAAATAAATAAATAAATAAATAAAATGGGAGGGCTTGCTTGGGAACTCATCTGCACCTCTTCGATGGGTGATCCATGTAGTGTCCTTACTTTGCAGCTCTCTAAAAGCTAGACAATGAAGAAATGGGCTACAGCTTTGACTGGATACTAGGGCTGACAGGTGAAATAAAGGACAAAGTCTCCTGTTCGTTTAATGCAGGGGTTCAGGGGCAGGGAGTCTTTCTCTTCCCTACACTCTCCTGGTAGGTCACACCTCCACATTTCAGAATGCCAAAACTGGCATAACTTCATTTCCACCTGTCATTTTGGCCAATTTTTGACTAATTGGGTTGCTGTAAATTTTTCGAGAAGGTCACAACCTCTGAGGATGCCTGCCATAGATGCAGTTGAAATGTCAGGAGAGAATGCTTCCGGAACATGGTCATACAGCTCAAAAAACTTATTGCAACCCAGTGATTCTGGCCATGAAAGCCTTCAACAATATTTTGACTAATTTTTTCTTTATCTGTTGTAGTTGGAAAAAATCAAACTACAACTTACTTTGGTTGTTTTGGATGGTTTTGACTGGTTTGGAGGGAGAAATGCTCCAGAACCAGCACAATTTAAAAAGGGCAAGGCTGGTAGCTTTGGGGAGGCTTGGTGGTGGGTGGTGGGTAAAGCTTCGAAGGGCTTTACGTGGTCCATGCGCTATGCCTTGCCAAACCCTGCTTTCATAGTTGTGTAGAAGAGGGAATTTCATCAAGTGTTGATTGTAATCTCCTGAAATTCCCTTTTCTTCACCACCATGAAAGTGGACAGGAAAGGTGTCTTTTGTTTCACTGGCAACTCTACTGGAGGCACACTCTAGGCCATCCTGTAGGCTTTTTGACAAATGTGAAGATATCAAAGCCTGGGCAAGTTCTTATGCGGTAATACTTACTTCCCGATAGTCTGACCCAAGTCATATTATAGTTTCCCAACTGGTAACTTAACATTTAACTTACAGAGTTTAATCAACTGAAAATTCTTAACAAGTTCTAACTGTGCGTGTTCAGATAGGAATGGCCAGTCTCTACCTCACACCAACATTATTTGGGCAGGGAGAGCTGAAATGATCTATATAACTTACTAAATATCAAGTCTCCCTTATGTGAATCCAAATTCCCCCAATATTTAAAACCTTTTGTTGCCAGTCACCCAAGACGGAGCCCCCGGTGGCGCAGCGGGTTAAACCCCTGTGCTGGCAGGACTGAAGACCGACAGGTCGCAGGTTCGAATCTGGGGAGAGGCGGATGAGCTCCCTCTGTCAGCTTCAGCTCCCCAAGCGGGGACATGAGAAAAGCCTCCCACAAGGATAATAAAAACATCAAATCATCCTGGCGTCCCCTGGGCAACGTCCTTGCAGATGGCCAATTCTCTCACACCAGAAGCGACTTGCAGTTTCTCAAGCCACTCCTGACATGACAAAAAAAAAAAAACCAAGACAAACTCAGTAGGTGCTGGATGTGTGACTAGCCCTCTTTCCCCCATCCCTTATTCAGTATATATATGCAAATTCAGACATTGCAGAATTAAAAAATCATAAGGCTTATGAGCCCAAGCATTTCAGATAAGGGAGATTTAATCTCTAACTGCAAATAGTGATTTCATCTGTGTTTCTGATTTTTTTTAATGGTAGAAACTCTATAACCTAATCGCTGTATGTTCAGGGACTTACAAAAGGGAGGTGGTTTGCACTGTAGCTCCTTGAATTCTCCAGCCTGCATGGTAACACCATATTGACTGTGGGATGTAGGAGCTCTACTTCAAAAAAGGCATTTTTCCAAGCTCTGAGTCTTCTTGACATATGTCTCTGTGTTTTTAATGTTGGAAGCAGATCATATGCTTTTCTTGAACTCTCTTAATATCAGCTGCTTGTTGGGCAGTCTTCCATAATGCTTTACTAGCACATTCTACTTTTCCACGCTTTTTCCCTTTTCCTTATGTTATGTGTACATGTAGAAATGCTACTGTTCACCCTGCCAGGCAAGCTGAAGATAAGATGGTCACATCACCAGAGGCCTTAATGATATATCACTGTGCGACATCATGTTTATAATTTCATGTCCATTATGTTTGTCTATAGGTCCTTGAAGTCCATGAGAATTTGGACAGGCAAATACAAGAAAACTATGAAGAAGACCTGAGTGAAAAGGAGAAAGCAATTGTTCGTGAAATGTGCAATGTAATGAATCCATTTTCACAGTCTTTCATCTTTCAAGTTTTCTAGTTGTGGCATTAATGTTGTCAGATATCTTGCAGGGTCTGTGCTCTCTGTGTAAGCTTATTCGCTTCTAGTCTTTGTAAGGTGTGGAGAATTTTGGTTTCTCGAGAAACTAGAGTGTAATCCTGTAAATACCTACTCAGAAGTGAGACTGACAAGGTTTAATAGAATTGCTTTCAGATAGAATTATATAGGATGGTAACCTGACATTAGGATGGACTAGAACCAATAGATGGTGAGTCTGTTGGTTCTAGTCTATCCTTTAACATACACAAAATGCTTATGCGTTGAAGATCCCACAGCCATTTAACAATGGCTGTAGCAATGCTCCTGCCCTAGACTTGCTTGCTTAGCTATTATTTAAAATATTTGAGATCCCCATCCCATCATGAGATCTCAGGACAGCAAAGAGATAAAACAATATAAACTATCTCAAAAAATCCACCTTAAAATCAACAACGAATTTAAACTCATTAAAAATATGGTAAGCAATCCAAACAAGCAAAATGTGTTTAAAACATGTGCATGCTTAGAAATATGAAATATTAGACTGCAAGGATAATATAGTCCAGCTGCTTGCCTTGCAGGAATCCTGAACGATGTCCATCCAATTGCTGTTTAGACACCTCCAATGACAGAGATAATATACTACAAATTTGTAGGGCATAATAATCATACAGTGTATTGTCGAAGACTTTCATGGCCGGAATCACTGGGTTGTTGTAGGTTTTTTGGAGCTGTAATAATATGCTGTGTCCAGGTTGGTTCATCAGGTGCTCTGCTGTGGCCACCAAGAAAATCCAACAAATGCTGCGTTCAGCAAAGGACAAGAGGGATTCTCTCACTTTTGCAGGAGTCTACCATATACCATGCAGCTGTGGACAAGTCTACATAGGGACCACCAAACACAGCATTGCCCTAACACGAATCAAGGAACATGAAAGGCACTGCAGACTACTTCAACCAGAGAAGTCAGCCATAGCAGAGCACCTGATGAACCAACCTGGACACAGCATATTATTTGAGAACACAGAAATGCTGGACCACTCTAACAACCACCATGTCAGACTACACAGAGAAGCCACTGAAATCCACAAGCATGTGGACAATTTCAACAGAAAGGAGGAAACCATGAAAATGAACAAAATCTGGCTACCAGTATTAAAAAACTCTAAAATTAAAACAGCAAACAGCAGAGGGAAAACAATCAGGGACATCTAATCACCTCTCAACAAAAGATTGCTCCAGGCACTGCCAGCTATCAAATGCTAATCAAGGTGGTCAGTTGAAACATTCACACCTAGCTCCAGCAGACAAGAGTTCTTTGTCCCACCCTGGTCATTTCTACAGATATATCAACCCATTTTCCTAGTTTATTTATTTATTATTTATTTATTTACTTTGCTTATATACCGCTGTATCTCAAGCCCGAAGGCGACTCACAGCGGTTCACAAACAGTAAAAACAGTAGAAACAGCAGTGGTTCCATACAACATATAACAATTGACTTAACACATTATCCATAAATTACCAATAAGCAATTACAATGCACAATTATTACAAAAAACAACCGTACCCAATCTTATCATCCAAGCGTAGTCCAGGTTCGTCGTCCATTGTTCCATTCCTATGTTCCATTACCAGATTGCACTAAATTACTCAAACGCCTGCACAAACATCCAGGTCTTCACCTTTTTGCGGAAAAAACAGTTCCAACAGACCTCACTACCTATGAGGATGCTTGCCACAGAGGCAGGCGAAACGTCAGGAGAGAATGCCTCTAGAACATGGCCATATAGCCCGAAACAACCTACAGCAACCCAGACATACAGTGCTTCTACCATTTATGGTAGAAAAGCAACATTTCTGAAGCTGGTTAAATTTAGACGCCTTTGCTTGAAAAAACACTAATAGTTGTGCCATGCAAATACTGTGGGTTTTGTAGAGTGCCATGAGCCAGAAGTGAAGCGTGTGGAACAAAGAAGCCCGAACTTCTTTGAGATCACTGTGATGAACTTGAAGTGTCTATCATCCAAAGAACAAAGCATTTCAGAGGTGTGTCCCAGAAAACCACTGTGAAACTTTTCCAGTTAAACCCAGGTGGTTTTCTGAGGCTCAGCAGGACATTGCATGTGCTATATTTAATCCCTTATAGGGCATGAGGCATTGTGAAGTAGGCTCTGTTGTTCAACAATGGAATCAAGTTATCCTTTGAAATAGAAATAGCTTTCAGAGAGAATGAAAGCACTGTGGCTGAAAATCCAGCTTCTTCAAAACTAAAAAAACAACCTGGGAAAAATGAGACTTTACACCAAAATAAATTTTCTGGAACACTACATTGGCACTTGGTATCTTTTAGTATCTCACCAAACTCACCTTGGTCCATCTGGTCCAAGATTGGGGCAGGCGGCTGGAGATATTTGTCTCATTTAGGCAGGCACACACAGTAACAGTAGAATCACCTCGAGTGGATACATAAACATTTTTCATAAGATTTTATAATTAATTATCATTGGCATTCCACATTTGTGTGTTTGATTACTCACAGATTAGATTAATATGTTATCTGTAGGAATCCCTAGGTCCTTCAGTGCAATTCCATAGTCTGTTGGAAGTTGACCATAACCACAGCAAATGTAGAAGGCTAAGAGTATTTCATAATACTGTTGTGGTATTTATCATACAATTAAAAATATAACTTGTCAGATGCTTTTTAAGTTTACATTTTAAGATTAAATCATATTTTAGGATCAAAAAACTAATCTGTAAAGAAGGTGTGCTCCCTCAAAGATCAACATATTATAATAATAATAATTATAATTATAATTATTATTATTATTATTTGAGGTATTTATATACCACCCTTCTCAACCCTGAAGGGCTGTTCACAGTGTTAGCAACAATTCAATGCTGTGCCTAGTTGGCCTAATGGTAGCATCTATCTAAGAGGCACATAACTTCTCTCAAGAGATAACATGTCATTTTTGGATTGCAATCCCCAAATTGCAAAGGAGCTCCCAGTGGTACATTGAGTTAAACCCTTCTGCTGGCAGGACTGCTGACCAAAAGGTCGATGGTTAGAATCCAGTGAATGGGTGAGTTCTCGTCTGGCAGCTCCAGCTTCTCATGCGAGGACATGAGAGAAGCCTCCCACAGGATGGTAAAACACCCAGGGGTCTCCTGGACAATGTCCTTGCAGACAGCCAATCCTCTCACACCACAAGTGACTTGCAATTTCTCAAGTTGCTCCTGACACAAAAACATCCCTCAATTTTCAAGGCATCCTGGTTGATGTCTTGGTTGGCTAGAAGATTCTGGGATTTGTAATCTCAAAAAGAACCAATACCAGTCTTCACACCACACATTTACAGGTGCATACCTGCTACAACAACACTCAAGGAAGGTAATTCAATTCCTGTTGCTCACCAGCATCCGACCTGTCCCTGAACTCAACTTCTGAGCCGCATTTATGGCTTGATACCATTACCTAAGGCCTGTCTGTAGTTCTAATTTCAGGAGGCTTTAATAAGATCAACAAATCGTGTAAGTCTATTTTGGTAGCTGATTGCCACCTAGTGTGGCAGAGTGGGAACTCACATCTCAAATCCGACTGAATTTCCTGGCATATTTCATCTACAATAGGGCTTGAGATGTGAGTCTTTTAATTGAAAAAAAAAATAGAAAACAGTGGGGGGATTTTCCCCCAACACATACTTTGTCCCCTAGAGTCTTCTTTTCCCCCCAAAATGGATGATGAAATATTTTCTTTAAAAATAATAAATTGAAGACAATGTGTTCATATATTTATTCCTCTCTATATTATTGCAAAACAAGCTAGGGGACAAAATAATTTTATTTCGTTTGATGGTTTCCTCTGTTCCTATTTTGTGGCTATGTGCATGTCTTTCCAGATGTCTCACCTAGTTGAGACCCTTTTGGCTCTATCAGTAAGAGAATATAAAATGTTAGAAAGTAAATTCAATTTGTAATTTTTTTTCTTGGCAATTGGTATTTTTAATACATCAAAAAACCAAGAGCAGATATCTCTTGGAATCAATAGTTTCCTCAATGTGTTCTATGATCAATTTCCACAAGAAGTTGACAATAGAATTTTGTCGGAAGACCTACGGAGAAAATAGTAATCAAATTTTAGAATAATTAATTCTGTGAATGCTTAATCTGCAAAAATTAAAAGACATCTGTAAATATAAATAAAATTGTTTGGGTTACCGTTTATCATCATGGCAATAATGCCACAAACATGAGCATGCAGCATAGCTGAATACAGAGCATTTAGCTGCAATGCAGGGTCCCAGCCTATCATTTTGTTCCAAACTGTTATACATAACCCATGTTATGTTTATAAAACAACAAAGTGACTGTCAATCCATAAAGAGTGCTAATACTTTGTCCCCCCCCCCCCCCAGTTTTTCTGAAGATACCTATTTTTTCTTTGAAAAAGTTGTGTTTCTGGCTTCAACATTTTTGGGAAATGGCTATCTGTGATAGATTTGATACCCCTTTCAAATCTCAAACCTGTATTTTACTCCCTTTGCTTCCAGGTGGTCTGGCGGAAACTAGGTGATGCTGCAAGCTCCAAGCCATCCATCCGGCAACATCTTTCGGGTAACCAGTTCAAGGGCCCTTTGTAAGAAGCCTCACACCACAAGACTGGGAGTGGAAAGAATGAGATGAACAAGGACTTCTCTGCCTCTAGCTGCCACAGCCATCTCTCCTGCTGACCCCCAGTTCTGTACCTGTTCATAGTGTAAATAAGGCAGCTCAAGACCTAGATAGTAAGCTGACCCGATTCAGAACAACGCTACGTGGGTTAATAACAATCCTCTAGTGGCCCATTTGTGTCACTTGTATTGTAGTGGGGAAATCACCCCAAGCCTGCTCTATTGTATGGTCATGTGTAGAAATACCCAAACCCAAGTGAATTTCTAGGAGGAGAAAGAAACAAGGAGCCCCTACCTGTGGAAGATTTACACTTTTTTCGTTTGTGCCGATGTGTGGACCAGCACCACACCAGCTCCCTGCAGCTTGCTTTTGTGGAAAGACTGAGGAAAACTGCAAGTATACTTGTTGTTTCCATGCCTATTGAGAAGAACATTTTTGTCATTTGGCTGGTCCCAAAATGCCACAGCTTTCTAAGGACTGGTCCCATAATGCTGCAGCTTACATGTCACCATGATGATAGCTTTCCTCTGGTTCAGAGGTGGAAAAATGCACCTCCCAGAGACAAGTCCCAGTATTCCTTACCATTCCTTCTGGAATTTACATTCCAACAATATCTTGAGAGCTACTCTATACCAACCTCTGCTCTATGGAAGCAATCTTTGATTATTTTGTTGTTGCCTGCAGGGATAAATAATTAGAGGAGACTTCTCACTGGAGCAGAAGAAAACAAACATTATTCCACAGTAGTGGGATGTCCTGAAGTGCTGCAGGGGAATTCGTTTGTGTAGAAAAACACATGGGCTTCTTTGCACAAAACCTGTGCTGAGACTGCTGACTTAGTTATGAATGTTTAACTCAATATCATCTCCTGGCCTAACACTCCTGATGTACTTCAACAGCCACCAGCAGCATTGAGTCATTACTCAATGAAGGTCTGTTCTTCAGGGGATTGGGATGCAGTAGAATGGTATTTTCATTCCCCTCTTTCTAGCAAAATCTGCATTGTGAAGAGTTACAGCAGGGATCCTATTTCCGATTGCCACAACCTTTCTTGCTTGTAGAAAGGAGATGTAAATATCATCCCCCTCTGTGACCTGATTGCTAGTAGAACAGACCACCATTACACAATGCAGCTGCTTAGAATCATAGAATCATAGAGTTGGAAGAGACCTCATGGGCCATCCAGTCCAACCCCCTGCCAAGAATCAGGAATATTGCATTCAAAGCACCCCTGACAGATGGCCATCCAGCCTCTGGATCCTACACCACACTCTGGGGCAGAGAGTTCCACTGCTAAATGGCTCTCACAGTCAGGAAGTTCTTCCTAATGTTCAGATGGAATCTCCTTTCTTGTAGTTTGAAGCCATTGTTCCACGTTCTAGTCTCCAAGGCAGCAGAAAACAAGCTTGCTCCCTCCTCCCTGTGACTTCCCCTCACATATTTATACATGGCTATCATGTCTCCTCTCAGCCTTCTCTTCTTCAAGCTAAACATGCACAGCTCTTTAAGCCGCTTCTCCAGACCCTTGATCATTTTAGTCGCCCTCCTCTGGACACATTCCAGCTTGTCAATATCTCTCTTCAATTGTGGTGCCCAGAACAGGACACGATATTCCAGGTGTGGTCTAACCAAGGCAGAATAGAGGGGGAGCACGACTTCCCTAGATCTAGACACTATACTCCTATTGATGCAGGCCAAAATCCCATTGGTTTTTTTTTTTTTTTGCTGCCGCATCACATTGTTGGCTCATGTTTAACTTGTCCATGAGTACCCCAAGATCTTTTTCACACGTGTTGCTCTCAATGGTTAAGAGGGCAAGCAAAGGAGAAAAAGGAGGCTGTACTGAAATTAGGTTGCTACTCAAACCTGGATCCCACATTCACTAGGCTCCTGTAATTGTATCAAAGTGTTTCAGGAAGTGGAGCTAAACTTATCAAAGAAGTCATGTTCTCCATAGCTGTTTACATGACAGAGTTTGGAAATGCTATATTTTATTCTGACTCAGATGTGTTAGTGAGAGTCAAGGGAAGAAACTAAAGACAATGTTTGTTGTAGTTGTAGGTTCATAACTGCTCCATATCCAGCCATTCAGGACCACGACACTAGTGCCATGACCACAAATCTGCCCTCCTTGATCTACCTTAACAGCCAGCAGCTGCTTCCAACAGTGAACGTCTGTTCTGCTGGTGATTGGAGTGCAGCAGAATGACTTATCTAGCCCTCTCCCATCTGTAATCTCCACTGTGATGAGGAGTTGTAAATGAGATCCTGTTTCTGATTGTTGCAGCAAACATTGGATGGCAGGAGGAGATTTGGAAATATCTTGTAGGGTCCTAATCACTAGTGGTACAGCATCTAGTACGTTGCTTGATATGACTGCTCTATTAAGGTAGGTTTGGGGAGTAAGTTACGTAGATGAAATGTAGTTACACATTCATAACTAAATCTGTCATGTAGGTTCTTGGCAAATGTTTCCACATTTTGCAAAAGGTACGCGATTTCAGCCTTTCCTTCATGACATACAAAAATGCCTGCTTCTTCATCAAGGTTATTTGTATTCTCAGATGTTGGCTGTATATGGAGGAAATGCTGTGTGAGTCTTCCTGCTTGTCTGCTTCTTTTTCATACAACGAACAAATGTTTGCTATGCCAGCTAGCACTATAATTTTGTCCTGATCTGACATTGCAAAGAATGAGAGGAAACGTGTTTCCCCCACCACTGTATTCTCATTGAAAGAATATAATTGAATGGGTAATTTGAAACTGTAAAGTGTAGGAATAGCCATTCCAGCTATACAAAGGAAGAAGCTGATTCTTCAGAAAAGTTGCTGCTACCATTGAACCATCTGATGAAATGCTTTGTAGAATATGAATGGCTGATTTTTTTATGACACACAAGCAGCGCCTTTGCAATCTGCCAAAGACTTTGCTTACTTTTCGCAGGCTCCTCTCATCTCATCACATACTTTTCCTTGTCTTAAAAGTGGATAGCGTAAATCAGAATGACATTTGAGTAAAATAATTCTTATAAAGAGAGGCTGTAATGCAGTGGCTCTCAACCTGTAAATTCCCAGATGTTTTGGCCTTCAACTCCCCATAATCCTGGTTAACTGGCTGAGATTTCTGGGAGTTGTAGGCCAAAACACATGGGGACCCATAGGTTGAGAACCACTGCTGTAATGGATCTTGGTTAAAGCTTGTTCTTTGGACATTTGCATTTGTGTTTTGTAATTAGTGTGAAGATGTTGCAGCTTCAAGATTTTGCAGCCTGGTCTCATAGAATGTGAGCTATGGTGCTTTTAGGTGGTTCAGTTAGTTGGACCTGTTTCTATTGGATGCCCTTATACAGGGTTTCTTTCTGTACCCACCTAGTTCTTCAACCACGTATACTTCTAGTATACTTTTTAAGCAGAACTTGGAAACTCCAATTTAGGGGGCCTCTAGGCTATGTTGGCTGGACTATTAGGGAACTTCTACTATCTACCCAAAATAAACTTTTCCAATCTGTGCTCTCAATAACTTCCACTTTATTAAAGCCACTTCCCTGAAAATCTTTCTCTTTTTCATAGCTCCTACCTTCCTTCTGAGTTCTGTAACCAATATTGAGTGACCTAAAACCATTGCCAGACCCAGTTCTTCCCATCTGTTTCCAATTACTGTTTCCAAACTGAGCCCTTAACTTGTTTGGATATAATACAGATAAGGGTCTTTATCCTTAACATGATTTTAGAAGTGCTCCTTCAACTATTAAAAAAAAGTCTGCATGCCATGGCACATTATCATCATCATCATCATCATCTGCACATCTTTCATTTACAGTTCTTTGGATGTTGAAATGTAAGCCTAGGCTTCATTTGCAAATCTGATTACTGAGTCAGCAGTCACTGAGAAAGCTCTGTTGTGTGAATAAAAATTAGGTAAATATCAAGGAACAAGTATTCCCCTTACATCTGATCCTGAGGGTATCATATGGAACACTGAGTGGAAAGCTGTAAATAGGTTGTCACCCTTTCTCCATCCCATGTATTTAAATGAGGGATGTGCAAACTTTGGCCCTATAATACAATTTAGGGGAGTAATGAGAAAGGCGTGGACCTCAAAAACTATCATTTTTCTCTGGTGATCAGTCTTATGAGGCAGAGAGGAACTGGAGTCAAATGATATATTATGAAACACAGTTTAACCACTGCTGGTTTAAATATGTCTCCCACTGGCATGACTTACTTTGAAGTCATGGAACTTGTCTGAACATGGGTACTACTGAACCAACCAAAGCAGATTCAGATGAATGGGGCTACCTCCTCAGGAAATGAAACTGCCACAGCTGATGGGGCATTTATGCTCTTTAGATGGTTCAGAGCTTGAAAATAGTTTTTTTTAAAGAGTACAACTCCCAGAATCCCACAGCCGGCATGATGAGGATTATTTTGGGAGATAGAGTCTCATTGGAGGACATTTTCAAGTTCTGGTTAGATGTAAGTTTAACTTGTTTTAAGTATACATTTTAAATATAAATTGTGAAGACAGAAATCTCAGGTTTATGGTCAATACAAGTGCAGGTAACAAAGGCTCCTGAACTGCCTGCATTTACCAGAGGCTTCGGGACTCCATCATTAACCTTTCAGAGAAAGGACAATAGTGTTCGGAATTCACTAGTAGCTGTGTTGACTATATGGCTCATTGACTTTTGCGATGTGTGTCACAGCGCAAAAGAGACACCACAATGTTTAGACAGTTTATGATAAGTGGTGGCCACATGCCACAAAGTGTGCTTTGATGCAGCTCCTAAAATGTGTGTATTACAAGCATTGTATGACATTAATTCTGATCACTGCAACAAACACTAGGTAAATATGGCAAAAAGGTCACTAGATAAATATAGTCTTGTTTCTCTTTCAACCACCAGACAATTTAGATGCAATAATTATGATTTCACTAGTGTGGAAGGAAGTGGGACTCAGCTCTTCCATACACAGACAGTCAACCATCACACAATGTTTTACTATGAGAACGTAACTGAAAATTAAAACTGCAACAATTTGGAGGAGTGATGAGAAACATGTGACTCTCTAGATATCGTGGACTGCAGTTCCTATTGTCCATCACTAATAAATTTGGCAATACTAGCTGGGAGATCAAATGGTCCCCATTTCAGTGAGGATGGAAAATGACCAGTTTTTAAGAACTGAAAAACACTGGCATTTCCCCTTGTTGGGCATGCTTATCCCTTCCTTCTCCATTGCCATTAGTCAAGATTTGCTTGACTTTTTGAAAATGACACCATACAAGCATTGAAAAGCTAGTTCGCCAGGGGCAATATTGAGCTGAGGCCATATGTTTATTGACAACAGTGCCACTGTTGACCCAGTGGCATCATGTAGTTTGTTACACTCAATTTACATTGGTTCCTATGCATTTCCCCCCTTTCCTCACACTCTTCTATATATCCCTGCATCCTTTCCTTCTGGTGTTTGAAGATTTAGGTACACATGCCTTGATCCATCTAGATCAGTGGTTCTCAACCTGAGGGTCACCGGGTGTTTTGGCCTATAACTCCCAGAAATCCCAGGTAGTTTACCAGATGTTAGGATTTCTGGGAGTTGAAGGCCAAAACATCTGGGGACTCACAGGTTGCTGAAGCATTTTAATGAGGGCGTTGATTGTCCTCTGGAATGACGGGGAGCCTTTTTAAATAATAAGGAGCAGAATTTATGGAACCCAATATTTATTCCAAACAATACCAATCTGTTTATTAAGTTAAGCAGTTGTTTTTACAGTACTGTTCCATGTTGGGAGGAAACCAATGGACCAGTAAAAATGGAATCTTCATTCATCACAGATCCAGAAAGCACTTCAATAGGCTTTGAGGTAACAATGAAGGTGGACTAAGTACAGGTCACCAGATGTTATACTGCAGTCCCCTCTATCCCTAATCAATATAGCTAGTGGTATGAAGTGCTAGGAATAGCAATCCACCATCATCTGGAAGACCAAACGTTTGCCAATAAAGTACTGCTGTAGTGTTTTTGTGCTGTATTTTCAATTCTCCTTTCCCCATGGCAAACTTTCATTCCTGCTTGTGCTTGAAAAGCTAGACTGGAGTGTCTAAGCCCCTCCATGGACAGATCACTCATAATGGATCATGGCAAATCAGTGACCATGATGTACATGTGGAAGGTCACGGCTCTGTGTGCCCATACACATTACTTGGGTTATCAGCTTGGATATTTTGAGGGGCTGAGAGTCTGCTGATTCCAGCCAAAGGGAAACATTTAACCTGAATTTCAACTTTTTGTGCAATTTAAAACAATTAAAGAAATTTAAGCAAAGTATTATTTCTATAACCCAGCTATGGGCTATTCTAGAAACTACCCGAGCCTTCAAAACAATACAAAAGTGGGAAAGGCAGCCAAGATTTTGTTAAGCGACTCAAGCAGAAATGACACTATTCAAATGGAAGCAAATACATTCAAAAGTACTGCGGATGAAATGGGTCTGGGACTCCACAGTTATATTTGCAAGAATACTTTTCTGTTTTCATAGATGAGCATATTAAGAAGGCACACTCATATGCAAGTTATGCATTGTAGAGTTCA